ACTGCAAAGAATTCAGGTAGCTGCCCAGGCGACGGAGCCTGGCAAAGCTGCTGAGAGGCACCACAGCTGGCTGGGCCACCCCAATACTTACAAACTCCACAAGGCCTTTCTTCCAAGCACTGGCCAAATCCGAAATGCGACCTCTAACGATCTTCCCGCCTAAAAGTCTCATCTGCTTCCCTCTTCCTTGTCTTTTTGCTGGCGCTCACCCCACTTGTTCAACGCCCCATCCTTGCCACCTTCTGTGCACCTAACCATCTTTTCCCACTTGGGGAATCCCGTTTGTTGTAGCAGACTTCCCAGGCTGACCAAAGAGGAGCTGAGACCTCCCTCCCCTATTCCATTTGGGTTTAGGGGGGAGAAAAAGTCACACAAAGTAATTTCCCCGCTCTTTATCATCTCTCCACCCAACCATCTGTGGATTCTAACAAGTCCCATCTTTGCCCCTACAAAATATATTCATTCCTTCTGGGCCCGTTTGGAAGCCTTTACCACCCATTCTGGTTTTCAGGTAACACGACGCTGCGTGGTACCCGCATAGACGCAACAACATCCCTGCTCTGTCTTCAATCTCAAACTCCACAGTGGCCACGATGCCCCCATGGCTCTGTCATGTGTCACAAGCCCTCAATGAATCTTCCCTGATACTGATGAGCTAAGAAGAAACTGGCCTCCTGGGACTCTCGCCAATCTGGGCAGGAGGCGGAGGTCCCTGCTTGCCCTTTTGGCATCAGGGTGACTGAATTTCCCCTTTCCCTCAGTTCTTTCTTGTTCTGAGCCACTGACTATAGACTGAGTTTCTGTATCAAGCCGAAGTCCAGCTTCACGAGGGAATTTAACTTTCTGGACTTGGGGGAAAGTTCACGGCAGACATAACACAGCCAGCAGATACTGGAGCGCAGAAAATGCTGTCTGCAGCTCCTTGCATGCCCACGCCCTACACCACCAAGGTGGTTAACCACTAATTAGGTGATCGAAAAATGCAGAGCATTTCGTATCATCAATTTCCAAAGTTATAAGGAACCAATTATCCCACAAAGCTGTCTCTATGAAACAGGGCTCCCCTGGGAGACCCCAGGTCTCCTTCCCAGGTGCAATTCAAAACAGAGAGAAAAAGAAAATTCAATATTGGAAATGTCGGATTTTGGGGGCCAGTGTCTCCCGGAAACCTCTCTGCGTTTCTGCAGCTCAAACGGCCCGTCTTCCGTGTGTGCAGACACAAGATAAGCACGGTTTTTCCACCTGCTTCCCCTCTGCCTTCACCTCGGGTCATTTTCATTATTCTTCCCTGAAGATACTCTTTCATGACTCATTCTTTAAAGCTACAGGATGAGAACATTCACTTTCAAAAGCGGAGTCACAGGGAAGGCTTTGCAACAAAATAGGGTTGGGGTCTGGGTCCCGGGAGACGGGAGCCTGCTGGTGAGTGCAGGCGGCCAGCAGGCGGCCATCTGATCCTCCACCTAGAGGAGCCCTGCGCCCAAAGGGCCCATTCATCATCTTTCCCAACAGCCACATCCATGGCTTTGGGGTCTTGCCTGTCCACCCCCGGGCTTCTGTTTATTTGTCTCTGGACCTTCCTCCCTCCTCCTTGCTGGAGGAATGTCCCTCCTCGAGCCCCTTCAGAGTTTGCTTCTTCAAAATACCTTGCCAGGTGACCATGAAGGCTGGCCTCCATAAGCCTCCCTCCTGGGTTCCCCTCCTCCCCTCCATCCTCCCTCATGGAGAGTTCTACTTTGCATGGCTTTGGAACCAGCCCATTTTCGAGGGGTACCTAGCACAGGGGCTTTCCAAACCCGAGTCTCTCTTGAACCACCTTCACCATTTGGCCACAGCCAGGGCCACCTAAACTATTATTCTTTGCATATTATTTTCCTTAAATCAATCCACCTTTTAAAACATAAATATGTTTAAAAATGAAACTAGAGCAGCATCATTTGCCATAAATAGCATGTAGCTCGGGGCACCTGGGTGGCTCAGCTGTTGAGCCTCTGCCTTTGGCTCAGGGCGTGATCCCAGGGATCCCACATCAGGCTCCCTGCAGGGAGCCTGCTTCTCCCTCTGCCTCTGTCTCCCTCTCTGTGTCTCTCATGAATAGATAGAGTCTCTTAAAAAAAATGTAACTCAACCACTAACTCAATGCAAAAAAATTTTAAAAATTACGAAATCCTAAGTAGTGTCCCTAGCTGGAGACACTAAATTTGAGGCCTGCCCTGTCTTCCTGAAACAAGGAAGATGGCCAAGTCCCGCAGAAGTGTAAAAGACACAGTGGTGCAAACCAAGGCTCTTCCTGGCACAATCAGAAGCGTTAAAGGGAAAGGAAGGGAAGTACTTTCCAGCCGCGAAGGCTGGTGTTGTTTAACGGACGGCCTGTACCACCTAAAGTCAGCCCATGTATCTGCGGTAGACAGCCCCTCCCTCTCTCCCAAGAAACTTTACTGAGCATCTACCATATGCCAGGTACTTTCCAGCGACTGGGTGACCAAACAGCTTTTTTTTTTTTAATTTGAAAAAGGGCTCCCCACCTACATGAAACTTAAAGCCTGCATTTAAATAGCGTCCAGGGTAGCTTTCTCTCCAGTCTAGCACCTTACACTAAGGAAAAACCCAGATTCAAAACTGTGAAAACCAGTGCCCACCCCACACCCCCAGAAAGAGACTCGCTATTCACCAGGCAGTTTTCTCTGGTTAAGCTCTTGATAGAAAAATGATGTGTGGTTATTAGTTAAGTGTTTGGCATGCTTTGTAAGCAGCATTAACCACCCCCAAAAACCTCAGGGCTTCCCAGATAAACAAGTCCCCACCCCAGCGCCCTTCTCCACCCATCCTAGGGGTAAGCGCCCCCCACCCCGTGCCAAAAGACAACTGACATTTAAAACCCAATTGAAACCACACCAAACTGTCTATTTTAAATGTCAACAAGGAAGGCGGCCAGCCTGGCAGGTTTCTCCAGGACTGATTGAAAAACCACATCTCTGGAGTTGGATTTAAAAGTCAGTCACTACAGACGGCAAGAGAAGAAGCTGAGGACAAGAGAGATCTTTGAGTCAGGGGCAGCTGAGATGATTCACATTTGTCACTAATTACCTCTTTCTTAATCTTTACGTTCGTCTCTCCCCAGATAGAGGGTTTCTTCCAAGCAGCTGAGACATCTGAGCCAACTGAATTCCGAGTTCCTGTTGGATCTTGCTCAATCCAGATTTATAGTGGCCACTTTCTGCTCTGTGCATGTGTGTGCGTGTGTGTTAGAGGACTGACAGCTGTCATTCTTTAAAAGTGCACATAAGGGGCACCTGGGTGGCTCAGCGGTTGAGCGCCTGCCTTCGGCCCAGGTCGTGACCCTGGGGTCCTGGGATCGAGTCCTGCATCGAGCCCCCTGCATGGAGCCTGCTTCTCCCTCTGCCTGTGTCTCTGCCTCTCTGTGACTTTCATGAATAAATAAAATCTTAAAAAAAAGTGCACATAAAAGTTTAAGCTTCCCGAATCTTAGTAAGAAAAAGAAGAATGACTGTGTTGTTTTTAAGACCTAAAAACTCTTTAAGCTGTCTTAAAAGAATGTTCCCCTTGGAGATGCAGTAACATCGGCAACCAAAAAACCAAGATGTTTTATGTTTTTATATTACTTTCCCATTAAAAGGGATGGGTGACACTTTACAATGACAAATATGCACACATACAAATTTAATGACCGCATTACTCCGTCTTCCTCCATGCTCCTCACCGTTCTGAACACTCGACAAATAATCACCTATTTAGTCCTCACGGCAACCTTATCAAGATAAGGTCCTATCAGCCCTGTTTTTATAGAACAGAAAACTGAAACACAGAGAGGGAAGGCAGCGTGCTCGAGGGCACACAGCTAGTAAGTGACCAAACTGGGCACTGAACCCGGGCAGCCTGGCTTTAGGGACCATGGCTTGACCACTCCCCACTCCGTCCCCCCACCTCCCTCCCCACACACTATGTGCTCAGTGCTTTACACGTGTGACTTCACAGAAGCCATACAATGACCTTGAAGGTAGGTCATATTTTTGTTCCCCTTTTACAGATGGGGACAACGAGGCCCGGGGCCACTCAGCTAGTAAGCAAAAAGAGGGGAACTCTGACGTCACTGAAGTGTCACCCACTCCCCTACTTGGTCAAATAACATATCCCCATGGCCTGCGTGCCATCCCCCCACCATGTGCCTGTGGTTACAGTCTGGGAAACCACCTGTGTCCGTGGATGAGCGACCATCTTCCCAGGGAGCCCGGAACTTGAATTCAGCAGCTCTATAACAACAGTGTTTGGGCAGGAGGGACCTCAGATCCCCTGATCCCATCATCTTTAACAAAACAGGCCAGGAGGCTTAGCAACAAGAAATACTGTGGCTGATGGGTATGCGCAGTTACAGTGAAGTAGATGCCATCCACGGGGGAGGGAGGGAACGTGTGGGGTCCTGTGAGAGAGGCTTTGCCCTTCTCTCCTTGCATCTTCCGTGAGTGCCCCATGCAATTTCCCAGAGGCTACATGATGTGCAATATCACAAAAGCCTGAATGGGGAAGGGATCTGAGGATCCGGCGATCTTCTCTGGGGCCAGACAGTGCAGAGATGTGCAAAGAGAAAACAATGCCGCTCTTCTATTTTCTTTTTTTTTATTCCAAAAAAGTTATTTTTCACACTAAAAAATGCATGTTTAGGCTAATGTGTCCTAGGTTTACTATGTAAATGAACTAAATATTTTAAATTTCTCAGGTTTAAGTTATTTCCCATATGGTGAAGACAGAGATGACCCAAATGAGTGGTCATTTTTAAGAGTATAAAGGAAGCCTGAGAACTGCTGCCCAAGACCGTAATCCCTATAAAAGGAGGGACCACAATGGCCCTGCACATATCAGGGACTCAGTATCCATGCTTCTGGATGTCGAAGGAACGCCCAGGTGTACAGTATTGGCCGTCCCTTTAGGTACACGTATCCACGTACACTGTGATGACAGGTGCTCAGACCCACGCAGCTTACCTGGAAATAGTCTGTAATGAATGATCCAAGTTCACTCTTCAGCAGCCTCCTGGGGAGAGAGAAACACCGTCAAGCAGCCCTTGATGGTACAGGTCCCGGCGTCCAGGTCACAGACACAGGATGATGATGGCGCACTCACCAATGGCTGAGGCACCAAGGCCAGGTCTAAGAAGGGCGTGTGCTAGGCTCTAGCAATACCTCTGCACAAAAGCTATTAGGGAATTCGGCCAGTGGAAATCCTACAGGGGGATCCAGGCAGGCACAGGAGATTTTTTGTTGTTGTTGTTTTTGAGAGAGAGAGAGAGAAAGAAAATGCAAGCAAGCAGGGGAAGGGACAGAGGGAGAGGGAGAGAGAATCTTAAGCAGGTTCCACGCCCAGCACTGAGCCTGATGTGGGGTTTGATCTCACAACTCTGAGATCATGACCCAGCCATAGGAGATTCTAATAGAGTTGTAGAGGCAAGCCAGGCTTCATGAGAAGAAGGAGAAGGAGAAGGAGAAGGCGAAGGCGAAGGAAAAGGAAGTAGAAGGAAGAAGAAGAAGCAGAAGCAGAAGAAGAAGAAGAGCAAAGAAGAGAAAGAACATAATTTTGTAATCCTCCATATTTGTAGACTTTATGATTTTAAACACCTGTTTTTTCACACATTCTTCGACCGAAGATTGTAAAGGATGTGCGAGGGGAGGGCAATTACTGTCCCTCGTGTGCAGATAAAGAAACAAACGGAGGCTCAGAAATGGAGCAAGCCAGTGGCAGAGTTAAGACTCAAACCCAGGCCGTCTGCACTTTCAACATCTCTCCCCACGCTCCCACCCTGTCTCTCCTCCAAATCCATTGGGATATTCAACCTGGTGCCATGGCTTGGGTGGTCCCAAGGACTTGGGACCTGGTGCCATGGCTTGGGTGGTCCCAAGGACTTGGGACCTGGTGCCATGGCTTGGGTGGTCTTACCACCCAGCCCCAAGGAAGTCCTTCAAAGGGTACTGCACCCGGGAAAACAGATTTTATTTATCCAGCAACAAACATTTATCATCGAGCTGTCCTTTTTGTGCCAGACATTGCGCTGGCACCACACACACAGAAGCAAAGAAACAGATGAGGCCTTGGCAGTGTGGATCGATAGCATGCTAATAAAGACACTCGCAAGACACTTTCAGAGCCTTCAGAGCTACAAAGACTTTTAAAGATAGAGGTATTAGCACCAGACCCCCTTCTCCCTGTGACAAGTCATGGGGCTGCCCTACTGCTCTTTCTTTAATCCAAACGAGGGTGAGGAAGCTAGAAACAAGAATAACTGGCTCCCCAAATCCGGTGAGTTCCCTAAGGGAGGGGGGTACATTCTTCACAACTTCAAATGATTTCATTGACCCATCCCACCCATCATGGTCATTAAGGAACAAACGCTCAGGCTTCTGACAACCCCCCTCCCCACGCACACACCCCAAGAACGTGTTCCCACATGTCGTTCTGGGAGAAACGGGAAGTTACGCTGAGGTATGTGCAGATCATAGGTGCAATAGGAGTGCAAAGGAAGAAGAAAGACCATCCATGATCTAAATCCTTGTGTCAGAAAGACCCCCGGAAAGCTGCAAACACATGTCGACCTCGGAAAAGACCTTCCTTTTCCCACGACAGAAAACGTGCCTGTGGTGGACAGTGCATTTTGAGGTCCGACAGACGGCATGGCAGGCTCCTGGAAGGCCATCCCATGAACACAACCCAGCAGCTCGGCCAGGTGTGGGCGGGTCTGGCGAGGGGCCAGGGAGCCTGCCTCAGTCAGCAGGCCGTGGGCAGGAGCCTTGGAGGCCAGAAGCATCTCTTAGAAAACAGAAACCTAGTGGGCAGCCCCAGATGGAGGCTTTCGAACAGGAAGAGTCAGGGAGGCCGCTTCTGACTGCTGGAGGGAGAAACACCTGCCAGCATGGTCTTCACGGCCACTGGGAAGCCCCGAAACCCTAGGTGAAGAAGCCAAGCTTCCCCCAAGGAAGCAAAGACAAGTCCTGATAATAATGAGCTACTACGAACAGAGCTACCCAAGCACTTCTTGGGCACTCACCATGCTGAGGGACTGACGCCAAGCGATGGGCTCTTTCCAGAGGTGACCTGAGGCATCCACGCTGGGCAACACTGTGCTCATGAAGATGCTTCATAAAACGGAGAAAGAGGCCAGTGGCAAGGTAGTCCTTCAAGGTCAGCTGCTATGGAAAACTGTCTGCAGCCCAGCGGAGGAGGGCTCTATGTGCCCTTCTAAGTGCGCCTCTACGTGCGCATCATTGACTGAGACTGGACAGGGTCAGACGGGTGGTGACTGCCTGGGGACTCCTCACAGCGGCACTCCGGGAGTGTCACGAGGCTTCCCAACGGGGGGATCCAAGAAACATGTGCCCCCCACCCATCCGGGGAGGCCGGGGGGCTGCGGCCTACAGGGAGAAGGTACAGCACCACTGGGTACCAGCAAGCCACGGCCACAGCCACGGCCAGGATTCTGCGGGGCGTCACAGGAAGACCAAGCTTGGGGGAGGAGCAGAGGCTAAAGAGCTGACTTGACACAGGCACCAAGACCAGGGCGCAGCAGAAAAGGATGGAAGCTGGAAGCAGCTGTACCAGGAGCAATGGTGATGCGGGGCGGGGGGTGGGGGTTGTGAGCAGAGGACTCGGGGAGATGCTTGCACCACACGGAGGGGGATCCTCAGTCCTTCACGGAGCAGGAGCCAGACGCGGGAATCTGCACAATGATCTACTTTCTGTACTTGACGCATAAAGGACGATTTATGACCGGGTATGAGAAGAGAACCAGACGTTTGTCCTTTCCTTCCATCCTGAGGTCAAGGCCCTGTCCGCGAGGTATGGTTATGTAGACTCAGCCGAACGGAACAGACCCCATCGGGTCACTTAGGTCAACATCCTGTTGCTCTGGGGTGGAGCGGGGGGGGGGGGCATTCAGTAAGCTGCTCTGTCCCCGACAAAACCTGTCCTCCTTCTGAGCATGCGATGTGTTACACAAGGTCACCACACACACGTATACACACAGAGTTTTTGCTGCAGCAGAATATGGGAATCAACACAAATGTGCACCAGTAAAGTGCTCACCAAAAATTAATGGTCCATTCATACAATGGAATTCTATGCAATGGTTTAAAAAAAGGGGGGGGGGACTCTAATGATACGTAAAGATCTAGGTTATATTAAGTGAAAAAAAAAAAAGCAAGACGCCGAACAGTGTGTATCATATGCTACCCTGTGAAAAGACAAGAGAAAAATAAGAATATGTATTTTCATTTTTTTTAATTAAAAGAAATTTTTTTTTATATTTTTATTTACAGAGTACCAATTCACTCAGGTGTCACATCTGCTCTTTTAACTTACTGTTCTGCAACGGCTGCGTGATTTGGTTTCCCACAGGCCCTGTGAACTGAAATAGTTGAAACACACGGCGCATGTGTGCATCCTAAAAAGTATATACAAACACGCCGGGTTTTGGCTCCTCCTCTCCATCCCCCCCAAGTAAGGAGCTGGAGAAAGCTGAAATCCTTGCTGGAAGTTAAGTAGGGCAATGAAACATTTTAGCAGACTTTAGTCCTTCAAGTTAGGAGGAGACACAGAGCCCCGCTGTGTGGGTCTCCTATAAATTATGGAGTGTCCCCGGCTGCTTTTCCATATATATATTCCTGACATATACTCAATTCTTCATGGTACATACCTTATGGGGTCAAAATTTCTGAACACAGCAGACACATATTTTAAAATATTAAAAATATAAAATAAAATAAATAAAAATAAAATATAAAAAAAATCTTTAAAAATTTTTTAAATTTATTTAACAAGAACCACCACCAGGGTTTAGATGGTTTGCACCCAGGAAGGAATTCCAGGGTCACGTTCCCAGCGAGGTAGCAATGTCAGAAAGCAGGTGGCCCTAGGTCACGACGAATCCCATCAAGGCCCCAGAACTGGCCTACCCCAATGCACCTCAGCCTGGCAGCCTGAGAACTCAACTCAGAGAGGAAAGTGGGGAGGAGGTCAGAGCTGGCCCAGCCATCGGGGCGCAGACTGCCGCTGAGTCATACCGCAAAATCTCCAACCTGTTTCTATACTTGGTGTTTACTCGCCTTGCACTTGGTTTACAAGGAAAGGGTACTTCTGAAAACCATGATCTTAGCTGAACTGAGAGAAAGAGGGATTTTCCACGTCTCTGTCTTGAAACACCATCTCCAGGGGGAACTCGGCAGTAGCTTCCCTCCAGAGCAACACAGAGAGGATAGAGATCCACGAGCCCGTTCGCTGAGTCACAGGCATTTCCTGAACACCTGCTATGTGTCAGACACGGTGCTGGCTGCTAGGAGGAGGGATGAGCAGAGCCTGGGCAGTGATTTCTTCCCACCCCGGGGGCCAGGGTCTCGTGAGGCACAGGGGCACCGTCTCCTCCAAAAAAGAACAGAGAATAAAGCATCATGGCGTTAGAGGTGTGTAGGCCCAAACTCACACACCTCGGGACAGCTCACCCTGTAACCTTCCTCACGGACTTTGTAAGTTTGGTTTGCAAAGCACGAGAAAGAGGAGCGAAGCAGGAGGAATGACCTCAGAATTCACCAGCCTGTGGTGTGTGGTTCCCTAGATGCAAAAGAGATGAAAACTCTCATCGCCAATCCCTGGGACACCTGTCCTGGCCAAGCCCGGGCGCTAAGAATTGGGCAGCTCCCCTTCCACTTTTTCCACCTCCCCCTAGGGTGTTTTCCTCTGAAAGCAGGAATGCAATTACTTATTGGAACAAATAAATAAAAATAAGGAATACATTGCTCCTAGGGTGGAGCTGGATGATTCCTGCCCCCCCGCCCCCGCCATGGCTGGAAGTTTATTAAGCGCTTACTAGGCGCCAGGCACCGTCGTCTGCGACATACCCAACATGTGTTTCCTCCTTTAAGCCCTCAGATGGTAGTAATGTCTCTGCCTGTTGTACACCGGGAAGCCGACCCCCAGAGGTCACCACGGAGGGGAGGGCGAGTGGTGAGCACAGGACGGGGCGGGGGTCCTGTGGCGGGGGTGAGGGGTGG